CATTGCCCATTGTTTCGCGCTATCAAACTTGATGCAAAATAACCTACTGAGAAACCAGTCCTTGTCCAGAATTTATCTTACTTACAATGAAAGGTTATGAATCCATTCTGGTTTAACAAACGCTTAGCGTTGATGTCTAACCTATCAGAGTTCAAGTCATTATCACACAGACTTTCGTCTGCCAAACTGTGATATAATTACCTAACGATAATGCCGCCATACTTTTGGTATATACCTGAACCTGCTCCATTTTCGATTTTTGGATGCATCTGTGTACCATATCTCAACCCAAAGTGGAAAAACTTATTTCCATTCCTCTTTGAAAGGAATAATTATCTTGAATTTTGAGTCTTCTACTTCCCCTCGTGGGAGCTTTGAACTGCCATAGGTGAAAAAGATATTCTTCTGTAGGGTACCAGTTCTCTCTCATTTCGGAAATTTACGTACAGATACATCAGCTCCTCCAAAAACTTTTTTGTGAAGTTTTATCATGTGCTCTTCTGATAAAGAAAAAGACTAGTTGTAATTTCACGTTCAGCCCATTATGTCCATATCTTTTTGCCTACATGAAAAAATGCCCGGAAGGGCTTCCTGAAGATTTCGACAATAATTTCTGCCTCAAATCCGTTGAATTTCTGATTCCGACAAAAAATATATGACAAAAGCATTCCTTAATGAAAATCTGTCATCTCATCTCAGCATTTTTGACGTGTGTCGAATATCAAAACGGAAATTTTTATCAGATTTTATTATGCGTTGAAAGCTAATTTGTCAATATTTTCTAAATTATATGGTAAAAATTATGTATACTATAATGGTGGCACATTATTTCTTAACTTTATATTTATTAAAAGAAAGATTATTTTTTTAATTCCTTATTTTGCCTTGTAATATCTTACGCTCTGATGGTAGTTGAGAAGTAGTGAGCAGCAATAGCCCACCTACTGTTATTCGACTACCAAATCATGCGTAATTGAACAAACAGTCCTATTGTCCAAATGTCGTTTAAAATATTGATCAGACGGCTTGTTCAAGAAATCTTTTTTTACTAGATTTTTATAACTCCAATAAGAAGCAAAAAGTTAAAAAGAATTGAAAATATTTTCCTTTCGTGGAAAATGATAAATAAATCAATCTATTCCATTTTAATACTTCATGAACTGTTCAATTCTTTTAAATCTCCAAACTACTCCTTTATAAGTAGCATTCCAAATTAATCATATATTCTACAGCTAGCTGATATAGTTGCTTGACAAATTGTTCCATTTGTGTACTGAAAATCGAAGATTAAAGTTTTTGAGACCGACAATTTTTTTTCTGCATACAATTTCAAAACGGTATTAAAAATAATTGAATTACGCTTATTTTTAATTATTCCAAATGAATACAAAAGAATTAGACAGAAATGGAATTCAGATAAATTAAAAATTTTTCTTCCCAGATAGCACCGAACTTTACAAGAAGTTAACAGCGATTAGTTTGATATCGTTAACTTCCCAGAAGTTTTAAATGTTCTCGGAGTTTAAGTTAACACAGTTAACTTGTTGCAAGTTAGAAAAGTAAATTTGCTGAATGTTTTCCTTTGAAATTTTACACAAAATTTTTAGGGTAAACTTAAAAATCTATTTTCATGCACAGATGTTTTCTGTGGCAGCTATAGCTGCCCAATACTTTTTAATTACATTTCCCTATAGAGAAGCTATGGATGTAATAAAATACATACATCTTGAAAAAAATATTTTTTTTAATTTTGAATTTATCAGAAAAAACTTCTTGCAAAATTTATGCAAACTTATACTAAAAAAAACTTTCGTCAAATTTAGAATTATAAATTTCAGCAAGTTAACAGTGGTAACTCTGAGGACATTTAAAACTTCTAGGAAGTTAACAGTGTTAACTTCCGAACTTATGGCCGTTAACTTCCTGCAAACTTTGGTGCTATCTGGGTTAATTCATCGCTTCTTACTGGGAAGATTACGTCAATAATAATCAAGTTACCTGAAACAGCCAAAAGTCAAATATTTTGTTGATTTAAAAACATAACTAAAAAAATTAAGAACAACTTATTTCTTCTATTTTATGGTGAAACGAAATGTTTGCGATTCTTTTGCGGAAGCCTTGTAATTCTATTTTACTTTGGCCATTAACTGTATGAAGTAGGTCAGTCGATAAGGTTGGGTAATCAAGATTGAATTAAGTAGTATGTGTTAAGTTGGTTTTCATTGTCTCCACTCGCTATTTGTCATAATTCTCGTCAACTACCGCACCCTGCTCTAGTGAAAATTTAGTAACTTTAAAGTAACTTTTCATTTTAACAATAAAATCACTAAATTTTCACTAGAACAGGGTGCGATAGTTGACGAGAATTATGACAAATGACGAATGGGGACAATGGAAACCAACCGTTACAAAATAATTCGTCTGCTGTCCTGTGAAAAGTCGTGACACTTCTATAATAATTTTATTAGTTTATGGCGTATGGTGTAAAGGCCAACTCACAACAGATTTTTTGGAGTTCTAACTTGGCAGCGGTAGTGACCGTTCGTTCTACCACGTGCTCTCCGACGTGTTCTTCAAAGTTTGTTCTAATCCTGATTTTTTCTGAATTTTGTTCTATAAGCGAGTGTGACTTCTTCCCTCGCCCATCGTAACCTTTTTGTGAAATATCCAAATTTTTTGTGTCACCCTGTGGACCCATTTTATTATTTTATTCTGTTCCGTGTGACTTTTCATGAATTTTACTGGTTTTATCTGAGTTTGAAGTGACTCACTGTTATCGTGCTGTGACCTCTGCTGTTTATAATGCTTTGTGGAACTATGTAAACATCTTTTGTATATCTGCGGTGTTACCTTGCAGTGTTGTGGTCTTCGACAGTTTAATATCTTAACTGTATACCCCTTGTTCAAGGTTTAAGCATATTTAAGGTGTTTGAAACCCGATGTTGACCTTTTCCCGCCTTACAAGTACAATTGATGTTTCTCACTCAATCTGAGTTTGTGTCTCATTGTTTTACCCAGAGGGAGCTCGACTTCAGTAGTCTTACTTTAACCTTCCATTGTTTTATTTTTCTGATAGAAAGTTAGAAATTGTTATTGAGATCAATTATATATATATCAATGTATGCCCTATACGCTTTGAATTCAATTCTCGCATGTATTCTTCTCATGAGAATTTATTATGATTCATGAATGAATTCAACGTATGGCAAATTCATTTTCCTTGTACTCGACTTGTCCGTTTCCAAGCGAACAATATAGTTGATTCAATCTCAAATTTCCTTTAAGCTGGATTTACTTTGCTGTTGCCTAACCTGTATTACCAACAGTGTAGCATATAGTGTATTCTAGAACTTTTTCGTCTTCTAAGTTTATTGTTCTGACATTTGGCTAAGCCTCAAGTCATTTAAGAAGAAGAAGAATAACAGATTCTTAAACGGTAACACAATCGCAATCGTAAGCATGAATTGGAGAAGGACAAAGAAATATGTCTATCCTTTTCTTACTCGTTCTCAAGATTGCGTTTCAATTTACGTTTCTGATTAAGAATCTATTCTGCTTATGTCTTAATCAATGTATTTACAATATACCACGAAGTAATAAAATTATTATTGAAGTGTTACGACATTTCAATATGAAATTGGGTGTACTAAGGGACAGTATCCGAACATGGACCTAAACATGAAGTAGTACAAGGAGCACTCACTCTATAAGCCGTTTTGAAAAATTGTGGCTCCACTTTATAAGAATTATTCACAGAAATTTGATAACAACGATTTTGACGCCTCTAGCGAAAAAGCGAGGTACTACCGATCACGTGGTTTTGTTTTCTGCTTGAACTTCGTGCCGTTTTTGAGAAAATCGATTTTTTAGGTTAATAAAGTTAAAATGGATTAGTACAAACTTTGCAAATATTTTATTTTTGGCTCATATTTTGTAAAATTCTTTCCTTCTCTTTTAGGTAACTTGATGTTTTACGTAGTCTTGGCTTCGTACGATCTTATTACAATAAAAAATTTCATATAACTAATTATTACAGTAGTTCTTGTATATTTTTTATATTTATTTTTTACTGTATTTAAGACTTCCTTTTTTTAAAAAAATCATGTACCATTTTTCTATCATTCCTTTTATAGTTGCAAAAAAATTTTAGAAAAAAATGGGCCTGTTAGAAATTTAAAAAAATTTTTTTTTACCTTACTTTAAATTTTCCAATACTTTCTTTATATTTTCTAATTGCTTTTTATTACATTACTATCAATTACTTGTTATTTAGTAGGTACTTATTTCTCTGCATTTAATTTCTGTCTTTTCTATCACCAATATTCTTTTCCTTATTAATTAAGAATTATTAAACCCCTAAATGTCATTTGATCTATATAGTTTAATACTTAAGTATACGATTTAGACTGAAAACACCCTATTAAAAGAATTATTTTTCATTCGTAACAAACTACAATACTACCTTAATTTTTCCGACATCTTAATTATATCTCATCTATCTGGACGTTAGAATTCAAATGTCCCAACTACCCTTAAAATTAAAACAATGTTTGAGATATACAATTACCAGTGTATAATTTTTTGTAGCAAATTTAATATTAAGTGCTTTGAGTTATATACTACAACTTCTTACATTAATCTTTATGTAATTTCACAGTAAATTCGCAATATTACATTCTCATAAGTGTCGCTCCGTGACAAAAGGTACCTTAGTTAAAAAAAATTGATTTTGAGTTTTTGATGTTAATCGAGAGATTTTGAGTTGCTCTATCACATTTAAAATTAAGAAATTATTTATGTCAATTGCATTTTGACAAAATAACGTTTCAAAAATGGATATTTTCTGGAAGCTAAGGTACCTTTTGTCGCGATGCTTCATATATTACAAATACCGCCTTAACGGTCATAAAAACGTAAGAAATTGTACTATGTAATAGTAAAGATAAGATTATTGATAACTGTAATTAAAATTATATATAACATAATTATTTCATTTGTAGGTAACAATATGAAAAAATGTCGTGCAAGGTATGGTCTGGATCAACAAAGTCAGTGGTGTAAACCATGCAGGTACGTTAAAAAAAATATAAAGCATAAATTAAGTCACAAGATCTTCACATGTAGCGTTCCATTTATAATTTTTCAGAATTTTTACAAAAGAGATAATATCAATGATTAATTAAGCATTATGTTCAGCATAATTTTATATGCAAATGTTGATAGTCATAGAATTCATAAAATCTTTCAAAATAACCTATTAGTTATTCTAAAAATTATTATTTTTATAATATAATCGTAGCGTTTAATTTAAAAGACTTTTTGCTAAAATAATACTTTATTACTTTTTTCCGGAAAGTTAATGTTATTTGGATCTTGTGCAAAATAAACATTAATCATTTTTGTCATACTTATATATGTTTGCATATTTATTAACTTGTTTCGTTATCCACATGTAGTTGTATTTTAAATGAATAATTAAAAAAAACATTTTTTAAAATAATTCTTCAGAAAATGTGTCAAATACAACAAAAATTAAAAGTTTTTCTAATGTTAATTCCCACTTAAAAATGTTGCTCGAAATAACTAAAAAAATTCTCACAATTCCGATAAAAACTTTCATGAGATCTCTGTTTCAATTGTTGGCGACAGAAAAAACGAATATTCCATGATACTTAGCAGGTACCAAAAAGTGGTCCATACTTACTGTGTACGTCATTTGATCTCGTTATATTATTCAGTGATTTAACTCCAAACTTCGAAGCGTTTAGTTGTAAAGATCCCTAAAGGTTACGTTGATATAAAAATACCCGCCTATGAGCAAATGTCTAGAGCAAAAGTTGACTGAACATGTAAATTAAATATTCGTAAAATATTTGGCGTAAATATTTGCAAAAATACTGAGCTACACATAAAGCCAATCCTTATGCGTCCTAATTTCTTCATCCTATCAGCATTCTCTTGGTAGGTAATTACAACCGCGAGCTTCATTCTTTGTTGGTTAGGTCCTAGGATCGTCAGTTTCCTGGACCTCTACTTTCTGGGTAAGGAAATCCAGATCGCGTATCTTCAATGTGAACTGGATTCACGGTCTGCACCATCCCGATACTTCTATCCGGTTTGGTGACCTCAGCTGTGAATATGAATATGCTCATTATTGAAGTCTCCTCCAAAGTTTTTACTTCCTTTCTGTACCTCTATGACTGCGCGCCAAAGCCGCTTCTAATGCATATGCTTTCTTTTCCTGTTTCGCTCTTCCTGGTCCACCTCCGCATAGCCCATAGTACCACCAACGTTGCTATCTCCATTATCTGCTAGGGCGTTGTCTTCGCCTCCCTGACTAGATCCGGAAGAGTCCATCCTTAATAGGCATGTTTACATTTTTCTGGACTTCGCAAGACTTTGACATCTTTGCGATCTCCTCCTCGATCCTTTGAAGACAGTCAGCTTCCTCCTGTCTGTGCTTTAAACAATTCTCGCGTTCTTCTTCAATTGTCTCGTTGTCTAGAAAAAACGGAATCAAACTTCTTTCGCTGCTGACACTAGAAACACTTCCTCTTCTACTTCCAAGTCTTTTCAAACGGACCTAGGAAATCTTTAGAAATTGGATGCCCCATAGTCCATCATCCTTGTAGCATTGAATGCTGCAGCATCCAAAGTGTCCAATACTGCAGTACTGTTGTAAGTGGATTTCGACTTGCTGACTGTCAGCACCAGTGGCTGTGGGGTATCCCTTCCTTTCACCGTAAACGTCTTTACTTAAATCTTTGCTTTCCATATCTCCTTTTCTCCTTACCTTACACCTTGGTTTTTGGATGTACTTTAATAAAAAGCCCCGCCACCAAGACAAGGTCTACCATGATTTTTGGTAGTGGACATCCATTGGCGAGGTGTCTGTTTCTTTTACGTTGATAAGAATTATTTTTTTATTTTTCATAAATATTTACGCCAAATATTTTGCGGATATTAAATTCACATGTTCAGTCAACGTTCTTCTTAAAATTTAACGGAGAATTATTTATATTTTTAGTTCACATTTACAGAACCTTAGCTGATCTATGCAAATCAACACTCTGAAGTTTGCACTAAAAACTAAAATAAATTTTTATTATGAACATTATTTAAAATAATTGTTATATAATAATAAATAATTGTGAATATTAAATAAAAAATTTTATTATGTTTTATGATAATGAGAAATAACGATATATATTAAAGTGTATTCTGACATATTTTCTGAATAGTTATTATTAAAACTTAATGTTCTTCTCGACAACACATGTAAATTACAAACGTTCATGAAAAATTACTTGTGGATAACGATTTATTATGGATTCTTAAATGGGGATTATTTAAATAAATGTCACCACAAAATCCCCTTTAATGGCTGGTGGTTAATTTTGGCAGCCCAGTGGAGCACGGAGCGGGGATGGGCATCCACGCTAGCATTATCCATCATGGTGTGGGAAGTAGCGCGGGGGCTGGGGTCGGAGCTGGAGGTGGTGGCGGAACGGTAGCAGCGTCAGCTGCACCGTCAAATACCAATGCTGCCTCCAACACTTCCTCGCCTCAGCAAGAACCCACTTATGTAAATCTCTAGTCAAGCCTATCACCTCCCTACTACTGCAACACTTCTTCTTAAACAGTGGTCAGTCCCGAAAGTGATCTAAGGGTTCGCCAGCTCTCACTCGGCTTATTAACCGTTCATTGATTATCTTTGCAATTTATTTATATAATATTTAACTAAGAAGATACATATTTAAGTGTTGTCCAATATATTTATTATAAATTCTATGAGCGGAAGGAACAGAGTGAGTAGCTAAGCGATCTCATAGTACTCGCATTGTTTCTCATTGTTGTGGCTCTTTTAAGCTTATTGTTATTTATCGTTTTTTAATTTTATATTTTTTCGGTGTTGCCCTTGGCATGACTAAACTGCAAATCATGCATTTACACGCCTGTGTTTACATATAAATATGTATGTATGCACATTACATATGTAAAACTCTGTATCTTAATTATTTACAATTTTAGTTTATTCAGTCAGTTAACTTTTGCCTATATATATTTATATTCCTATTCATCTTTTTATCCTATTGAATTAGGTATTAGTACTTTATGGAATATATCAAATTTTAATAATTTTTCATTCTAAATTCATTTAGTGAATTACACTACTTTTTAGACATTTAACAACTTTTTATTTGTTATAATTAATTTTTTCTGCGAAATAAAATTCCAAACACCTAGGTAAAACATCTTTAACTGGAAAAAGTCAGGAAAATGCAAATACTATGGTAATCCTGTTAATTTACGAGATTATGTTGATATGAGGGAAATATAAATGTTTTTCTATTTTGTCAGCAGATATGTTTATTTCTTGTATAATTTTTGTCCACCGATGATGAACATGTTCAGGGTAATAATTTATGACAATTAATAAAAATTAAATAATACCCCTGGGACTTTCTATGATTATCCTAATTTCCGAAAGCAGACGGATGTCTCTTCTCACTGACGCTTAGAGTCCCTGGGCAAGACGTCCTATAGCTTCACATTTCGCAATGGCTTTAGTGGTTCTTCGGTTTTTTCTTCCAGTCTGTATTCTCGACGAGGTTAAAGGAAGGCCACTTCCGGTACCCAAAATATATTAATATTCTTTTATGTCCGAGGTATTAAATAATTTATTAACTACTGTAAGATTTGAAATAGTTTGCATTTAACAATCCTTACGTGAAGCATTTTGTCTAAATAAATTTTATTAAATATTTATCTTGCTCACCCAACGCAAGCGTAAAATTTTTATCAAGATTTAATAATGAGTTGGGTCCGTGCCTGGACTATATCAGTATTATATAGTTCGTAATTGGTAAAAATGTTTCATAGTTATATCGAATATTTGAATTCTATGGAAATAAGAATATTAAAAAGTAAGGCTAAAATTACACTACAAAATGTTTCTGAATATAATTTTACAATGAAAGTACAACGACTATATAGAATGTAGTAACATTGTTAAAGGCCTAAAATAGTGTGTTTTCATGCTACACAAAACTGATTAAATTTTTTACAAGTACATAAATCTGATATAAACCAACGCTTATTTTTTGCTACAAAAGGCATCTAAAGACATCAGAGTATTTACGATAATGTAGATATTAAACCGGGTCATTTCATCCTTGATGTCATACAACATGCTTACTATTCTATTTGAATTATTTATAAGTCAAAAAATTAAAGTAGAATCGTTTGATCCAGCTTTTTCTTTTTTATCAAAGGATCATTTCTCTATTTTAAAAAACAGTATCCTCTTGATACGAAATAAAAAAATGTTACTTAAGGTGAAAAACGCTGAAATACTTTTTTAACATATTTCGTTTTTAAAAAAATCGTCTATTTTTGTAAAGGTACATAAGAACATTAGCCACCAGAAGAGTATTTTTCTCTGAATATAAGAATACTTTTTTTAAAATATTTAATAAGCTATCAATATATTTTTAATAAATAATTTTATCTTATTATATATCAAGACTTCAATAAATAATTTGATTATGTTTCTTAAATTCTATCTTTCTTAAAAAGATTCTCTGGAGTTTCCGTTGAAAATTCGATGGAAATCTATTGGAAATTTATTTTTGGGACTCCAACAAAATTTCCATGATGCTCTTCCGGAAATCTAACCAAGTTGTAATTGTATTAGCTTTCGAAAATTAATTTAATCACTCACTTACCTGGGCACATCGTGTTGCCAAGGTAATGTTTGTACAGATAGCTTGTCTGATTTGTGTAGCGAAATATCTCAACTGGGACAACTAAAACAGTTTTTAAATATTTCTATACATAATTTACTACATCCATTTTAATTCTTATTTAAGGTAGGTATGGACAAATTCAAAAAAGCAAAAATCTGTATTTTCTCTACTTTAAATAAAAAAAAATTTAGTACATTTAAAAATTGAATAAATTATGTGATTTTAACGAGCAGCGTGCAAGCGCTTGATACGTCAAAAATGTTCTTGTATCAACGCTTACTTAATATGCTTGTCCTGCTCGTTTTTAGTCATTTCTATTAT